TCAGAGTCCGAGATGAGCGGTGGGGAGGAGGTCGGCTTGAGTCCCCTGACCCCTACTCTCAGGCTGTCCCGGAGCTTTTAAAGACTAAAATCCATCATCATTACAGTACGTCGTTGCCAAACCCGAGCAAGCCACACAGCAATACTGACCACTGAGCCCCGCTGCAACCCACAAATATCCGGGGACAGAGCGAGGCTGCCGCATTAACTTTTATCTCAAGTAATTTTAAAAAGTATTTTCTACATCTGCCACCGGTCCATATGTGCCTCTTCTCCAATTAAAGATACACAAGTGAAATTAAAAGTACTATTCTTAGGCACCTACGTTAGTTAGAAACTAGAAACGAGAAAATTACTCTCATCTTTTCAGGGGGAAAATGCACTAACATTAAGCACAGAGTTTATTTTCATGCCACGAAGATCAAATGCTAAAACTCTCTGATTTAGAAGTGGGTCCAACTGTTTCTATCCGCAAAATTTTTATAAAAGGTTGATACCTTACTGATTGAGAAAATTACCAAGACCTTCCCAGTGATCATTTTGAGTTATACAATCTATTTAAAATGTGTTTATTTTACCTAATTTTATTATTATTATTCTTTGGTTAGTTTTCAGAATTCACAATAACCTAAACCTGCTAATAAAACAAATCTTAATTAAGAGTAAATGTAACATTTATTACTTCTCAAGAAGGTTAAATATGGAAGAATAAATGTCTCTAAAAATGAGATAGGTACTTATAAGTATAGACCAAAAAAAAAACGTATAGACCACCATTTAGGTTCTTTAGATTATAGAAGGTTTAAATATTCTAGTTTTGCATTATTGAAGAAGCATTTCTGAATCACTTTTAAAAGTAAATAAACATTACACTTTAGAGTTTTAGCTGAAGATTGTGTGCTAGTGAACCTTTTTGTTCTTTCTCATCCCCTTGCAGTTTATTGCTTGTGTCTACCATCAACTCTGGGGTAACGATATTTAAATATGACTTTAGCATAAAAACTCTTTAATTCCATTAATACTATTTACAAAACAAGTCTCCTTTCTCATTTCTTATTAAGTTTTAAAGAAACTAGCATCCTACACAGCCCGAGTTCAAAGTTGTCATGGGGATACCGCAACTCACAACAGATCACAAAGATTTATTCTTCTCCGCTCTAAAAGCCACTATTGACTATGGTAATCAGTAAAATACTCAGGACTTCAAGGACACTGAAGTTAAACAAGGTATTTGTCTTTGTTGTTGACTTTAAAATGTTACCTATCAGAGCCCCTCTGGACAGAGGAGTGGGGCATTCCCTGGAAAACCCAGTCCTCTGCCTGGGAACAATAAGAATCCCAATAGAAGACAGCGTGAACTCCCCAGGTAGAACTATTTAGTCATCTGAAAACCCAAAGACAAAATTTAATTAAAAGTCCACTTTGAATAAATAATAAATACAATCTAGGAAGTTTGCTTATTTTTAGTTAAATAAAATCTCTCTCATTCTCTCCCAACCTCTTTCCCAAACCCACCAAGCAGCTATAATCCTCTAAATTACTAAAAAGGAGAAAAAAAAAAAATGCTGTCTGTATATCTGATTGTGCTGGAGGCTTGCTCACCAAGTTCCCCCTTTTCAACTCACCATTTCTCTCCTAACATGGCTGTTTGGGGTGCCCTTGGGGAGTGATAGATTCAGAGCAGAAGGGCACCACCACCTGTCTTTCTGTGTGTGGCACCAAGACACAGGGACTCACACACAGTTCTGCAGGAGCTTAGGAGGGTGTAGGACCCAGGAAATAAAGGGGTGTGAGAACTCTGAGATCACCCCAGAGTAAGCTCATCCCATCTACCTAGTCAGCAAGAGGTGTATAGCGTGGGTTTCCAGAAGCCTCCAGATTGTGCGGGTTGATCAAGTTCAGCACTCGGGTTTTAGCTCTGGTGTTTAAAGTGTCTGCCTCCAAAAACGGTTTGTTTAAAAAAAAAAAAAAATCTAAGAAACAGGAAACCTAGCTAGGAAGCTGGCCCCAGAGTACCTGTGAGGACAAGCAAAGTTAGGGTCACTCACTCCCCACCCTTCACCCCAATACTGGCTTGGTCCCAGTCGCTTCCTGATTTCCTAACAGACTCTATGCAAAAGCTGGGTGTTCCCAAATCCCTTCCCATTTTTTTAAACATAATTTTTTTTAAAAAATGCTTAAAAAATAACAAATCTTCTAGGTCTACAGAAAATTTCTCTAACTGTGGTGTGCCCAGAAGATGAAAAAATTAGGGGAAGTATAGGCTAAATTTAAAACAAAAAGCAACATATTAACTTGCCCACAACTGCCCCATACTGCCTCTAAAGGGATTTCGCATACAGAACCAGTTACTGTAAACATCTAAAGACTCTCTCAGCCATATGAAATGCTGGAAGATTGGAGGAAAGGAACCTGGAGATCAAGCTAAGGTGTGTCAAGAAATAGGCAGAGTTGCAGGGGCTGGCTCAAGCTGCAGCTAGCCCTCACCCAACTCACACACCCTTGCACATTCCCTACAGAACTCCCCGACTGACAAAAGAAGCTTCACACCCAACCATTGCCTCCTTAGAGATTCCCAGTCTCTCCATCTCTGCTCCTGGGAGCCAAACATGGGTCCCTATGCAGCGGTAAGGAAGAGAGCCCTTGACTCTCAAGTTCCAAGCCAACAGTGCAAATCTCAACAGGGTCCCCGATCCCATTCCACACACCGGAAACATGGTCTCCAGGGCCAGCTTTGCAGCAGAAGCAAAAAGAGGGAATTTCGCTGGGCGCGGTGGCTCACGCCTATAAGCCCAGCCTATAAGCCCAGCACTTTGGGAGGTGGGTGGATCACCTGAAGTCAAGAGTTCAAAACCAGCCTGACCAATATGGCAAAAACTACTAAAAATACAAAAAGTAGGTGTGGCGGCACGTTCCTGTAATCCCAGCTACTCGGGAGGCTGAGGCAGGAGAATCACTTGAACCCAGGAGGTGGAGGTTACAGTGCCCACTGCACTCCAGACTGGGTGATAGAGCAAAATTAAAAAGAGGGAATTTTGAGACCAAGTCTTGCAGCACTTGGAAGAAGACAGAAAGAACTTAGGTTATCAGGGAGCTGTTCAAATTTGTTCCTTCACTTTCAGACCACTTGCATTTCCAGGGTGTCTTTTGCAGACAAGGTTGGGAATGTCCCATTTTATCCTAAGGAATCCTGGCCCCTAGAAGGACTGACTTGCTGTCCCTAAAGGCAGCATCGAGGCTCCCACGAGCAGCACAGACCTGGGATACACAAGACACCGGGGTAGGACTGTTTGGATTAATGTGCCTTCCTCCACTCTGCCACCTCTGTGACTCAAGGGGCCTCCCCCACACCTCCCCTCTAACAAACAACAATAAAAAAAGGTGTTGTTTCCTTAGAAAGATTATCAAACAGGTGAAATATATAGTAAGAGAAGACAGCTGAAAGCACCAAAGACGCAGAATGTTGCATCTGAGAAAAGCAGCCTAACAGGGCTCACACACTCCTGTGCTGGAGTAAACAAAACACTTTTCAAAACGAGGCATTTCCAGGTATTTTTGACAATAGCATTTTCACGGTTTACCCCCTAATGGCTCCCAGACACAGGAATTAAGAGTATGAGTCAAATTGGAAACTGAAAAACTGGTGGGCTAAACTTCGAAGGGAGAATAGGTGCCCCAGCTCCAGGATGCCTGAGTTGCAGCCTGGCCATGTGAGCAGCAGTCCCAGACCAGGGCCCAGCTGATGCCAAGCAAAAGGGCCTATCCACCAGCTCTCCTTCAGCATAAAGTCACAAGTCTGACCACTCCAGGTGCCCTCTCATCTTTTCTTTCCCTCTCTCCCTTGTGGGAGAGAAGACGCCAACCAGCTTCCCTAGGAACATCTAAGCTCTTCTGTTGTGTTTTTCTAAATACCCTTCTCTAGGAAAACACACACACACCCTTTGGAGAGTTAAACTGGGTGAGTCTGCAAGTGCTTGTATGTGTATTTGGGGGTGGATCAAGTGTCCGCCACTCTCCCAGACTTACTCCCATCGTGGAATCTCTTCCACTCACCCAAAGTAGGGTCTGCGATGAGGCTCAAG